TTTGAATCCACAAATGACTTAAACCATCAATTAGGTTAGAACTCATGATCTTATCTTTTCTAGCAAGGTATGCTTTACTACTACCTGAGGTATCTCTTAATTCAAATGTGGACAATTGATCAAAATTAGAAACCAATAGAGCATTTGGTCTCACTTCCACTCAACACTGCACTGTGCTATAGTCAGTGCCATGAGACAAGAAAGAAGAAAAGGCAAACAGATTGTAAAGATGTAAAACTTATTTGCAGATATAATTTGTACATTTTGCTGCTATAACAAAATACCTGAGATTGGTCGTTTACAAACACAAGACATATATTTTCATAATCTTGAGGCTGGAAAGTCCAAGCTCAAGGCACCAGCAGAAATGGCAAGGGCTTGCCCTCTGCTTTGTATGATGTGATTTATTCCTACATCATTTCATGACAGAGATAGTAGACTCCCTCAAAGCTATTTCATATGGGTATGAATTCCATTTGTGAGGGCCCCAAAGCTCTTCTGACCTAACCATCCCTAAAGAACTCTCACCTCTTAATATCATCACAATGAATTTTGGAGGACACCAGCACTCAGATCATAGTATATAGAGATATTTAGATGCAAAACAGCTGAAAATTTAAATAATACAATTTATATCACAATAATGTTAACTAGAGATAAGTCTGACAGATGTATAAGCCTTATATACTGAAAACTATGAAAACTGCTGGAATATGATACCACAGCTTGTTAAAGTTTGAATCTGAAAGGTCCCCCAGGCTTGCATTTTGAATGCGTATTCCCCACCTGTTGGTGCTATTTTGAAAGGTTGTAGAATCTTTGGGAAGTAGGGACTGGTTGGCTGAAGTATGTCAAGAGAGGTGGGTCTTTGAGAATATACCCATGCCCTGGTTCCTGTCATGTTCTCTGCTTCCTGGTCCTCCACGAAATAAACAGCTTCTGCCACATGCTCCATCCACCATGAACTGTGCTGCTTCATCATGCCTTCCTTTTCATGATGGACTAATACCCTTTGAAACTGTAAGCCCAAGTCTTTCTTTCCTCTATTACACTATTTCCATCATGTATTATGGTAAAAGTGTTGATAAAACCCCCAATACAAGGCTCTATAAAAGAATAAAACATCCTAATGTTTCTCAAATATTTTAAACGTTTTAACCAGAGTTTGCAGCTTCAAGGAAAATCAAAAATAAATGTGGCTAATATTTATCAGCACCATAGAAATGCGTTTCAGAAAGGAATCTTAAAATACATTAAATGTGAAAATGTTTTAAATCAGTGTTTAACTCAGAGAAGTTTATTCTTTCAGTGCACTTTGAGTGCTTAGCAGCTGTCCGATATTCTGCTTCCTACTGGGTAAATAAGTGGTGATATTGTATAACTATTTTCTAATGGAGAAATAGAAAAGTAAAATTCAAATGACTTAGAAATTGTATTCAGCGCTATATATACATTATAAAGAATACAGGAAGTAGCCTCCTATTTAGATAGTGTGATCATAAACAGTCTATGTGGATTTGGAGACCAAAACCTAAAGCTGGAAGAACCAAAGAGCAAGAGAAATATCATAGCTTAAAGAACAGCATTTGGAAAAGCCCTGACCAGGCCAGGAAGAGTGGAGATGAAGGTCTAGAAATCCCAAAACCCAAAAGAAAGCCAATTTGACTGGAATTTAAGGAGATTAGAAAAGGAGAAAGTTTCTAATATGAGAGAAGTAGGCAGAAGTCAATTATATATGACCACAAAGGAACTGGGTTTTTACCTGGTAATATAGGAAGTCATTTTTAGGAGTTTTTAAAGTTGTTTGTGGGTGTACTGTGTGTGCATGGGGAGGGGGGGAGTCTGTGGGTGTGCATGTGCAACAACATGTCTGTGGAAGTCTGAGCACAACTCTGTGAAGTGGGTTATCTCGTCCCACTCTTATACAGGCTCCTAGGGTCAAAATTATGACCTCTACCTGCTTAGCCATCTCACCAGCTCCATAATTTTCATAGGCTACAGATACAATTAAATTAAATTGCCTTTTTATTTTGTTTTGTTTATTGGCAGTGGACTCACTCTGCAGGTCAAGCTGGTCTAGAATTCACTATGTAACCCAAGCTGATTTCAAACTCCTATCACAGCTTCTGAACCCCTGAGATTACAGGGGTGAACCACCATGCCTGCCTCTATATTTTTGATTTTAAAACAACACTAGTTGTTCTAGTGGAGAATCAACAAGAGACAATATTGCAGATAATTTTAATAAATATATAAATATGCTGGGTAATATTTTTAATTAAACAAAGTGTACCATAGAATTTAAAAATACAAAGGGGAAACACCACAAAATACAGCTCCTAGAGATTGAGATCCTTCCATATAGTTCAAGACTGGAAAGAAAAGACCATATAACTGGTAGAAAATCCAGCCTACCACACTGAAAAAATAGTAAGGAAACCTGCTATCTGTGGTGAAAAAAATGTAAAAGTAATCCTCAATCTTTATTCATTTGTTAGCCCTGCAAGCTATAATAACAACTAATGTGGCAAGGTAAGCCCACTGGTGCAATAGTGTGTTGAATGTTATAAAAGTAACCAAATACTTTATGATCAGATTTAAGGCCCACTTTACAAGATGGAGCCCATACCTGGCACTCTTATCAGGGCCAAGAATCTGTGGCTAGACAGGTCACAGGCTATAGGAGAGAACCTACAACTATTATTCTGCTAAATGGACATAGCAGTAAACAGATTCCTAATGACTTAATATTATACCCATATATTAGTGCATTTCTCAACTCACACCAGAGAAGCTTCTTTCTGCAACACATGGCAAAGAACACAGAGACCTACAACAAATCGATATGCAGAAACAAGAGACTGCAGAGTGCAGCCAGCCCTAAATGGGACACCTACATCACACTCTCTCCTTCCAAGGTTCAAGGATCATTTCAGAAGAGGAGATGGAAAATTTGTAAGGGGCAGAGGTGGTGGATGAATACAAGGACATTGTGTTTTGTTCTTTGTCAGGGGGAAAAACTCTTACTTATTCTGCCGTTTATGGACACAACAGGCAGTTGCACATATAAATCCACAGCACTTGTGACAGCATGGACAAGACCTGTGTAAGCATAAGCCAGACAAAATTCTCATATGGAGCAGGGAGGTGGGCAAGAAGCCCCAGTCCTAGCTGAGGAACTATTGATAATAGCTGCTAGGAGAGGGGGAGTCAGTTTTCTTTGAAGGAGTGACACTGGGTAGGTTAACCATGTTCCAGGGGATGGACCCATAATGAAGTATTTGGGAAACACAAATTAGACTCTATTAGGCTCTTAAAAAATAACAGAGGACATGAAGTAGGGAAATAAGGAGGTGAGGGTGGATCTGAGAGGAGATGGGGATGGGGTCTGAATATGATCAAAATATATTGTATGAAATTCTCAAAGAATCAAGACAAATATTAAACAAAATAACAAAGTTTTTTTTAAACCTGGTATGAAGGTAGGATCCAAATTTATAACACAAGCTTAAAATAATCACCTTAAATATGGCTGTTTTAACATGACTGAAACTTTTAGGGTTTAGCAAAACTAATTTGTAGAGATACTTTCTCAACCCACAATATAGAATCTGCACAGAAGAAAGTCATTTGAAGATAAGCTCCCAGTAAAATATCCTACATCATTTGAAAACAGCAGGCATCTTGAGAAAGAGCCAACAGAAATAAAAGGAGATTTAGAACACTGCAAACTGGAAATTATAATTTCATACAGATGGACTTTATTACCTTTTATTATATCTTGCTTATGCCTTAGTTCTCATTCAGGGCCAAGGAAAAACCTTTAAACATGCCATAATTATGATCTCTATTAAGATTACTGATAAATCTTGAAATTGAATTAATTAAAGAAAATTCATGTATGAAACTTAACAAAGTGCATGCAAATTGGTTCAATATTATTAGGTCACTAGTAACTGCATGGTTATTGCATGGCAAGGAGAAACTAAATCAACCACCAGATTGTGACTGATTACTACCTACTATATATCTTTAACATATTTAGCCTATGTTCAAAACCTAGATGAAACGAATCCTTGTGGATGGCATTTAACCTTTTAAAAGAATTGAAAAATAAACCCTTGTGTGGCATCCCTTAGTTTCAGAAAACCCTTAAAGTTTAAAAGTTCAAAGAGTCAAGAAAGATTCTATGCATCCTTTCCCCTTCTAATCACTTAGCTAAACTGGAAGCACTCATTTCAACCCACTTCTTCATGAGATGTTTTGTTTTCCAGTACACTCCTTCATTTTCACTTGTGTAAAAACATTGGCACTAAGTTAAAAATGAAGACTTCAGATTTTCAATAGTGGGCCAAGAGAATGCGGTTTGGCTGTTGTTACAAAAATAATGAAAAAAGAAACTTAAAAGTAGGATAAACTGGTCCTTTTAAAAATCATACTCAGACTCTGTCTCAGAAAGACCGAAAAAAAAAAAAAAATCATACTGAAGTGCGAATGCTACTTAAAGACATGGAAGTCCCCAAAAGTTGAGTTTAGGGCACAAGAAAACCTCATAAATTGTAACTGCAGTGTGGCGTGGTGATGCACATCTATGAACATAGCACTTGGTGAGCTGAGGCAGGAGACTTGTAGGGCAGTAATATACCCCATAAGATGGTAGGTATTCCTAAAAATCATTCACAAAAGAAACAAGAAAACAAACCAGGAGGGAAGCAAACGAATCTGAAAGACGCTATGGTCTGTGAGAAGCTGGTTGTGCTCCCTTGACATTGATCACACACAGCCCACTCATTCTACTCTAACTTCACGATTCAAGGCTTACAAGGGATGCTCCAGGGCAGTTCCTCCAAGTCCACCCCACAGTGAGGGACGCTGAACCCCACGTCCAGGCTCCGCCCCGTCAGTGACACATGACCCGAGGCGGGCTGCCCTCCGCCTTCCTGCCTGCTGATCGGCTTCCTTCTCCACATCCATCGCCCCGACTCCTCTCGAAGCGATGGAGCATGGTGAACCGGACGGCGGAGCAGGGCCAGACAGGGCAGGCGAAGGCGGCACAGCGCGGTCCGCCGGGGCGGCGTTTCCCGCGGTGCTCTAGGCATCTCTGTGGGCACCCGAGCCTGAGGCCCCATGGGGCCTTGCGTCCCAGCCCGGCGCTGATTGGCTGATGGCCGCATCCGGAAGGAATCCGGATGTGCCCGATGCCGTGTTGGCAGTGTGCGCGCCGAGGTTTGGGCAGTCTTGGGGTGCCGGCAGCCGCGCGGATGGCTCAGGATTGGGCGGGCTTCTCTGAGGAGGAGCTGCGGAGACTGAAGCAGAATAAAGGTAACGGGCTGAGAGCTCCGATGGCGGAGCCTGGCGTCTGGGAAGGACGGGAGGGCGGCGAGTGAGGGGGCGTGGACGCTGCTCTGTGGGTACGACTCGGAGCCGATGGTGGACCCAGCCGACGGGCTCCTCAGGTGAGAGTCCTTGCAGTCAGGCCCGACGGGAGGGCTCAGGGTTTCTCCTTGGGGCACAATTCTTCAAAAATTTGACTTTTTTCCTGCGGAAAGCAATGGGACTCGGCGGAGAACATGAGCCTACAGCCTGAATGACTCCTAGAGGGAGGATTAGGGTACGAATCCCTGGTTGCACGCTTGGGGTCAGGGTGAAGGAAGAGGAGCACAGCACAGTGTTATGATGGTGGTGAGTAGTGTTGAAGACAGTTATGGGAAAGAAGGAATCATGAGAGTGGATAAACACAAAAGGTGGTTTTTGTTTTGTTTTAATAATGAATCTGTATTGCATTCACTTCTGGTTACCACATGGTTTTGCAACCCTTCTCAGTTATTGAGAATCGGCAGACCAAAGGGATCTTTGGGAGGTTAGGTGTGGAGCATATCTGTGTGTTTGTGTGATATATCTTTGTTACCTTCAGGATCAGTCAAAATCTAGTAGTTGCATATACGAGTGTATGTATATGTATTTTCACACTGTGCATGTACCCATATGTGTGTGTGTGTGTGTGTGTGTGTGTGTGTGTGTGTATATACACACACACATTGAAATTTCATAAAGATCTTTGTGGTGATACTGGTAGTGCACATCACTTCCGTGAGAGCTTTCTACCACTCTTGGTAACATTTTAAAAAATACTTTGTTTAAGGATAAAATTAAGTAAATCTGTCATGTCTGTAATTAGTTTGTGAGAAATTTGGATGTAGCTCTAGTACTGAGCAATTTTTAGCCCAGATGTGAGAATTATTTAGGGCTGACATGTGCAAAAGGAAGTAAATTAGTCACATAGGGGTCAATGTAGATTATAGATTGGGGAAATTATGACTGTGACTGGTCAGAGATCTTTAAAAATGATACAAGATTATACTCTAAAGTGTGTTTAACTGATTGTATCCATGTGGATGACCTCAAATTCTTCTGCTATGTGATTTCAGCACCTGTTCACATACCTATATGTACACAGTATGATGCCTTGCTTCTAGTCTGATTTCCAAGTTCTGAGTCTTAGCTTCTGTGTAGGGTGTGTCGTCAACCAGCATTGTCAAGGGGAGTGCTAACAGTACTTCATGCAGCACTACTTCTGCATTAGGAATGAAAAGATGAACAAATGATCAGCTTTGCCTTCAGGAGCATGTAGTCTAATGAGACAAACCATAACATAATGTGATGCCAGATATTGTACAAGAGGTAGCTGTAGGACTGGAGAGATGGCTCAGCGGTTAAGAGCACTGGCTGCTCTTGCAGAGGACCCAGGTTCAGTTCCCAGCACCCACATGGCAGCTAACAACTGTCCGTAACTCCAGTTCCAGGGGATCCGACACCCTCTTCTGACCTCCTCAGGCATTGCATGACATGGATGCACTTACATACATGCAGGCAGTACACTCATACACAAAAAATAAAAATAATAATTTTTTTTTTAAAAAAACGAGGTAACTGTAGAGCAACCTCACTGTGGTGAGGATTTATTGAAGCTTAGAATATTACACAGATGTTGCAGATTATCAGAAGTTAGTTTGTCAGGGCAAAGGTTTAAGGAAGGAGTCCAAATTAGTATATTTGTTATGTAAAAGTGTATTTTAAATTATTTCTCCAATTTGTAATAGGTTAAAGGTGCTAAGACCTGAGCTTCAGGCCTCTGGTTTGGTAATGAGATGTTAGAATGTGGATACAAAATCATCTATGCCTATCTTGGGGACAGAGAAAATATCTGTGCCTCTTAGGAAAGCCAGGTCTTTTACCTTGGGTTTCCAATTTTTAAAAATACAATTAAATAATCTAGAAAGATTGTATTGGTTGCCAGCAAAAATAAGGACTGTGCTGTAGAAACAGTTGAGTGTGCATTTGGGAATGTAGTCAAGAATGTTCTTAGTCACCTTGTTTCTCATAGTCAAAAGTCAGAGGTAATAGGGGAGTGAATAAATAAGTTGTGCTCTGCTTCGTAGATCATGGGACTCTATTAACCACTAGCCATATTCACTAACATAAATTGCATTACTATAATTGGCAAAAGGAGCAAGCTGCAGCTCTGTCTGATAGTGCTTATAAAGATCAAAATGATGTAAAGGTTAGGAGCTTAGGAAATCAATGAAGAACATCCTACAGAATGAAACACAAAATTCAAATGATGGCCGAGCAAGGAAATATGATCAAGCAGGGACAAACACATTCAGCACTATTGCTAACGGAGAAATCGGGTTAAACTAGGTAAAGTGAAGTAGCATATAGTTTTAAAATAATCAGTTGTGTAAAATAATGAATATTTATTTCTCTAATGTCATGTCTAACATGGGCTGCCAGGTGATGCTGGTACACATAGTCATTCCACACTGTCTTGGTATCGTGTAGGAGTGCTCTGTGGCAGGAAGAAAAGAAGATTGAAAATTGAACTAAATGCTTTCACTAGTATATAATTTTTATTTAATAAAAATAAGTCATATAATTTGAGGAACAAGAAACATTTCTCTTGTATATCACAGAAAGGGGGGTTATGTCTCCTGCAGTCATTCTGTGCCTTAAACTGTGGAAATTTTTCAGTCATACAGATTGAAAGAGTCTCTCTCTCTCTTTCTCTCATAAATATATGTACTTGATGTATTATTGCTTTCATAATGAAAAAGATTGGAAGTAAAATAGTGCAGCCATGTTTTATCAGTTTTTTGGTAAGATATTTATTCATATGTGACCTTTATTTTCAAATTTTAAAAAATTATATTTATTCATTGTAGGTGTGTATATAAGTATGGGTACTTGCACCACAGCGTGTGTATGGAGGTCAGAGGATATTTTGTGAGAGTTGGTTCTCTACCTGTACCATGTAGATCCTAGAGATCAAACTCAGGTCCTCAGCCTTGGTGGCAAGTGCCTTTACCCACTGAACCATCTCTCAGCTGTCTTTATTCTTTGTATTAGTAGTCTAATCCCCTTCTTGAGAAATTTCCTTGCTATTCTTGAACATTTATCCTTTCCTATAAATATGATAACAATTTTGCCAAATTTCATGGAGTAAGAATTTGATTAGAATTGCATTGAATCTTTAAAACCTTTTTTGAGAATTTCATACAAGAGTAGTGTATTTATGTCATTTTCACACCTCCCTTCCCGCCTTCCAACTTTTTCTACACCCCATCTCATTTCACGACCTCTTTATTGTTGTATGCACACATGTACATATATGTAAAATTTACTGAGTACATTTAGGTGTTTGTGTGTGCATGTGTTTAGAGCTGACCGCTTGGGATTGGATAACATATAAAGGAGCTCATACCTGAAGAAAAGTGATTCTCCCTCTCTCTGCAGCTATTGATTGCTTGTAGCACTTTGAGAAGGAAAGATTGTAAGAGCCAGAGAAACAGGATGGTTGCTGCCAGATGGTGTCTTCTAGACATGTTAGGGAAGCTGCACCCATGGAATCCCAACCATATGGCTGGCTGCCTAAACAAGACCTGCACAATGACACCACCAGTTGACACGCATTGAATCTTTAGATCAGTTTTGAGAGATCTGATGTCATCATGTAATTAACACTAAGGCGATATGCCTCCATCTTTTAGACCTTCTAAAAGATGATATCTCCTAACAAATTTTTACATTTTTTTCCCCATAGAAGTCCTGAACATTTTCTGTTAGAATTTTTTTCCCAGGTGTTTGGCCATGTCTGAGGTTGAAATATTCTTTCTTTAATTATATTTTCTAATTATTTGCTACTGGTACGTGGAAAATCAAAAACAAAAGGAAAGGCAATAAAAGAAATGATTAGATTTTCAAAGAAAAGGAAATAAAATAAATGCGTATCACCACCAGTAAGCAGAGCATTAGAAATCACAAGTGCAATGAGATGCTGCCTTGACTGATAAAAAGTTAAAATAGTAAATAATACCATATATTGAAGAGAAAATGTATTTTTGGAACCTTAGGTGTTGCTAGAGGCAAGACATTTTGGAAAATGTTGTAGCAGTTTATCTAATGTTATACATTATGACCCAGTAGTGTTTGGCTAATATCCAAGGCAAATTTTTATACATGAGGAGACATAACAGCAAAGTTCACAGAAGTTAAAACCTGAAACCAACCCAAATGTTCATCAGGGCAAGAAGATCCATAAACTCTGGTTTTGTCACCATAGAATGTGATTCAACATTAAAAATGAATAAGAATAGCATTAATGTGGATGAATAGTAACTATAACATTATGTAAAAACTGTACAGCACAGTACCTTTTTATAAAATTAAAACAAATATTTTAGAAATATTTATAGACATAAAGAAATGATCAACACATTCAAATGCTGTTGGAGGTGTTGAAGAGTAGATCTCACAAACAGCCTGCTGGCTTAATTTCATAGACACACATACACACACACACAATTATTTGGCCACAGTAGTGATGATAATCATGAGTATTGCTTACCAGAGTAGCATCTGCCCACTGGCCTTACCTAAAAGTAGGACTATTGGGTTGTGAGTAGAAGTGTATGTAACTAATGGTCCAGAGCATTTAATTCCTTCAGCAAGACCTCTCTACCCCATTCTTCCCCTGTCATGGTGGCTAGGAAGGCTAAAAGTGACTGCACAGTTGGTCTAGCGTCTCCAGGAACTGATCAGCAAAATCTATTTGTCTTGAGTTTGTTTTTTGTTGTTGTTGTTTGTTTGTTTATGGTGCTGAGGATTGAACCTCGGGGCCTCATGATGTTGCTTCCTCAGCCTGGCCTTTAGTTGGTACATGCCATTGTTAAAAAACAAACATATTTCCCGAAGATTCCAGAGTTATTTTAACCTATAGCATAATCTGTATTTTTTGTGATTGACAGAGTTTCCTACATTTAATAGCCAGTGTGTTTTATATAAAATCTGAAGTTGAGAAGCTGGAGCCGTAACTAAGTGGTTGAGCACTTGCCTGCATGTGCAGTCCTGGGTCCAATCCAGCACCAAAAACATACCTGTAAATTTATGAGAAATTTTTAAAAAATATCTTTTTTTGTGCATTATATAATTATATATATATATCTTAATCAAATTTTTATATATCTTATAAAATTATATATATCTTAATCAAATTTAGACCCCCTTCCTCATCCATGCCCCTCCATAGCCCCTTCCCCACTGGATTTCATGCATTCTGTCATGTATGTTAAGTCCTTTCTGGTCCAGCTTTTGTACCCAGATGTTCCTTGGTACAAGTTCATCCACTGGAGTCTAGTCAGCCTCTCTAGAGTCTCTCTCTCACCCATAGTAATCAGTTGCCAGTATATCCTAGGCTAGGGTTGGGCCTGCTGCCCATTTCCCTCGTTCTGTGCTGGTTTTTTGTCTGAGTTGGCGTGGGTCTTGTGCATACTGTCAACCATTGTTGCAAAAAATTCTTTTAATTGTGAAAAATCAAAATCTCTGGCCACATTGACCTAAATTTTTTTAATGGCAGCAGTTAACTAGAAATGACTCTGAATAGTCCTCCTTTGTGCTAAATTTATACTTCCCATTTGGTCCTAGTCTCCTTTATATTTACAGCTTCAGGTGCCTAGTATTTAAATAATATACTCAGTTTTTACATGACCTGGATTGTTTATTGATTGCTAGAGGAAAAAAATAGCATTTTAAACATTATATGTATGCTCTGTAAAAACGTAAAATAAAATAGAAACTACAGTAGCTAAGTTAAAATGTAATTATTAATTATTCAGCTATTGTTTTCAGTTGGAACTTAAAACAGGCTAAATGACATTTTCTGATGATGTAAATAAGATCAATAACCAACAATAAGTTCCTATTGCAAGATACAGGAGGCTGCTTTGTGTTTCTGGGAACTTCCGTATTGTAGTTCCTTTTCTTGTTGTTGTGACAAAGCAACTTAAGGGGAAAAGGGTTTATTGTGGTTCACCGTTAGAAAGCACAGTCCATCATGAAGGGGAAGTCCTGGAGGCAGGAGGTTGAGGTTGCTGGTCATGTTGCTTCTGCAGTCAGAAAGCAGAGGGTAGTGAATGCCCATGTTTAACTCACTTTCCCCTTTCACATAGTCTAAGATCCTAGCCCAGAGAAGGGTGCCACTCACAGTGGGCAGGTCTTCCCACCTCAATTGCCCTAATCAAGGAAATCCCCCACATGTTTGCCCAGAGTCCCATCTCCCAGATTATTCTAAATCTCATCACTGTGATGATTGAGACTAATTATCATAGTCCAAGATAACACAATAACATTTACTTTTGATAGAAAGTCTATCTTCTTAAAAACATTTTCTATACATATCTCAATCTTCTATCCTCTCTATGAGTTAAGAGGAGCAGATAGTTTTCAACTGGTACGACAGATGAAAAAGCATGTGTGGACTAAGTAAATGGCTTGCCTGAGATGAATGAGCTCGCCTGACACCAAGGTGGGACAGTGACTATAGAGCTTTCAACTCTGCTTTGAGAAATTCAAATTGATAAACTGGTATTCCTTCAGAGGTCAGTGTGGAGAATTTAAAAGTTCTATTTGACAAGCCTTTTTGTTCATTTTTGTTTTCTTCCAGGTCCTGTGGCTTAAACCTAAGGTGTTGAAGATGGTAGGCAAATGCTGTACCCCTGTGTAACATGTCCAGACTTAGGCTGCTCATTTATGAGGACTCACAATTTTATATAGACAGGTTGTTACAGATTATATTAAATGTAGTATGAAAATTAAATTCCCTAATTGTCTGCCCTAAGAGGATAACATTAATATGAGTAGTCAGAAAACAAAACAATTTATAGAAGTATTATTTAGTTTGTACTTAAAAAATATTCCTCTAGTTGTTTTCTCTTTCTCTGTTGCTTTCTTCAGGCTACTATTAAAATTAGTTTGAATGCATTAATTACATCTTATCTGGTCTTTGGGAAATACAACCTTGATCTTTAAGATAAAAGTTTTGAACTAATTAGCATCATTTTAAAACAAAATTTAAGAGTCTGTCACATTTGAAAACTAGCCATTATTTGTTTCAGGGGAACAGGTAAAACTATGAATCAAATAAACAGTATTTCAAAGAATTTCAGTGAACTAGGTGTCAACCTAGTTTGATCAAAAGTATTCTTTTGACAGTTATCAAATCAAGTTGAAAAGGAAAGCTTGCCTTCTCAGTGGAATGCATCTCTTCTACAGGGGAATTAAGAGCTAGACTAGGTTTTGTTAAATGTTAACAGGCTTCTGTAAGAGCTGTTGAACCCTAGGAAACTGACTGCCTTTTCCTGGGCTTTCAGGACAGAGAATGGGAGGGACGGGCCTCTAGAATTATTGTCAAAATTTAATGCCAGTGCTTTACTTTCTTTGGAGAAATGGTAGTCATTAGCTGTTCACACAAAGGAATTTTCATTCATTCTCTTTCATGTAGATCCATTTGAACCTCAGCGCCGTCTCCCTGTGAAAAAAACTCGACAGCAACTTCAACGAGAAAAAGCCCTTCTAGAGCAAAGCAAAAAACTTGGTCTTCAAGATGGATCAAGCTCATTACCTCCAGAGCAGCTGCTCTCTGCATCAAAGCAGGGATCTAACTCTCAGAAATCACCTTCTTCTTCCCCGACTCCTCGTACACATATCTCTCCCACTGGCAATGGAAAGCCACTGGGTATTGAAAGTCAGCCATGGGAACCAGGACTCAAGAATTCCCATGATGGTCACAGAAATGTTGAGGTTCTACCTCCAAAGCCAGATTGCAAATTGGAGAAAAAGAAAATGGAATTGTTAGTAAGTCTGTAAGACTGTTCATCCCCCACCCCTATGGACTTGGAGGAAATGTAGTTTGATTCGTTTTAACATTTACTCTTTTATATTCGTGCCTAAAAATATCAATAAACAATTGAAGGTACCAACTAAATAAGCCAAATATTAGGCTCTTATATGTTTTATGTCAATTAGTCTTCTCAACAACCTTATGATGCAAGCTTATTATTTTCACCTTTAAAAAGATATTGTCTTCCTAATGCTGGGCAAAGTGACACAAACCTATAATTCCAGTGCTTGGGAGGCTAAGGCAAGAGGGTCTTAAGTTCAAGGCCAGCCTGAGTTACACAGTGAGTTCCAGGCAAATTAAAGCTATATAATAACAAGACCTCATCTCAAATTAAGGGTGGGGTAGGGGAGGGGAGGAAAGGGAGAGGGGAGAGTTTCTAAACCAACATGCACACAACTAGTAAATAATAGAGTTGACATGTGTTTGTATTAGAACCTACATAATTTAGTCACACTTATATGGAAATTGCCATTTGCTGACTTGTGAATTCTTAGTAATGAAGAGAAAGGATGGCTTTTGTTTTTGTTTTCCTTTCTGTTTGTTTTTTCTCCAAAGTGTCTGTTTCTCCCAATCTCAGAGGTAGTTCTCACACTGCTGGTCCAGATTCTGTACTGTGATTTTAGAGTATTTCCTACTTACCAGAAATTTATGACCAAGAATTCATTTTGATAAGATAAAGACCACATGAATTGTGAAACAAATATTGAAGGAATATATTTCAAAGGCTTTAAGCCTATTTTACCACAAAGTCCTGAGACCAATATGTCTAGGAGTAGGTTTAAACTGAGCTGGACACTTTGTTTGCTTGGTTTTGTTTTCTTTTATAACAGAGTCTCACTGTATGGCTCAGGATGGCTTTGAATATGTTAATGAGTTGGGCATCTTAGACTAGATATCATTAGAAAAATTATCTCTTAGATAATCTTAATAGGCAACAGGTAATCTGAGGAGCCTTTGATGAAAGGAAGACTCCTGAGAGGAAAACCATGGGAAAGAAGATTGTCAGTGATGACATCTTGTCTTTCTGAGAGGCCAAGAGTAGGCTAGAGAGGAGAGAAATAAGAAGTAGAGAAGGAGGAGATAAACACAGCGCATCCCCACCTCCTGGTTTAGCATCATAGGGAGGCCTAAAGGGAAATGTCCTGATCAAAGTAGTGATTAGAAAAATGACAGGTATCACTGTTGTAATTTGGGAAAGAAAATCAGGTGGACTGGACCTGAAATGCCTGCTGAAGAATTTGCAATAGAAAGTGTGAGAAATGAGCCATGCCACCCTGGAGTGCAAGCTGCAGAAGCAGAGAGAAAAGCACAGCTTTAGAAGCGGTTCCTAGTGCTGGAAGAAATGCCAGCATGAGGAGGGAGGAGTTGTGCTGTTGCCTGACTAACTGATGGCAGCTTTGTGGGTTTATGGAAAATTTTGGGTACTTTTTTCAGAATTGGATATAGCGGATGACAGTACGCATTTTCAAATCGTTGACATTTTGCCTTAGTCCATTTCCATTCGGCTTTATTTAGCCCAGCGTACTTTGCACTTTTTAAACCGTTTAAGGGTTGAAGAAAAGTGAACAAAGTGAAAAAAGAAATGTATGAAACAAACATTGATATTACCCTTGACGTTACAGTCATGGGGACTTCTCGTTGGAGGAATTCTGAAAGGCATGACAGGGCATAGCTGCAGACCAATGCATTTTGACCTCCATTTTACACATAATCACATACACTGTTCTTTGTACTCCTGAAAAAATATGGTACTTGGGCTTGCATTTTGTAGGTTCCAGGATTATATCCATATAATAGATTTCAAAGGTACAGTTTCTAGAAGCCTCTTTACTTCAGATCATGGTCTCTGTTCCTACTAGAACAGAATAATGAGCTGCAGATGTGTTTCTTTGAAGAGAAGTTTTGAAAGAAAATATATGTAATCTGCCTGATTAAATTTTATACATAGGAGACAGACTGCTAAGGTGTGGGGTAGGGTAGCAGTTGCTTTCATAAATTCATTTTTATGCCTTTTTTAAAATTCTGTAGGCAAGAAAAATCTCGTTGGGAAGTCCTCCAACAAGAACAGCGACTAATGGAAGAGAAAAATAAACGTAAGAAAGCCCTTTTGGCTCAAGCTATTGCAGAGAGGTGAGGCATTGGAACCAGGTGGTGTGTGAGCTACAGTCATTTCTGTTGTGTGTGGTTTATTTCTTCATGCCCAGCCTAATATGCTGATGTTTTCTTTGCAGCAAGTTCTACTGAGTGCATAGTTTTTACTTACTAGAGAGGATATTTTTAGGAATGGATCAGAATAAATTCATAGGTGCATTTGTATGTGAAGGACTGGCGTCAGTGTCTACTATAGCTGTCTGTTAGTATATTCTCATGAAGGAAGCAAGAGGTAGTTGCCAGTGTGTGTAAGTGAGCAGCAAATGCAGGTTTTAATTTTGATGTGGAGAGCCTCAGCCATTGAACTTGTAGAGGAATGAGTGTACAAAGTGACTTACACTGCCACAAATCTTGTGTTTCTTACTGTCATGTTCTTAAATAATTTACCCTTCCTATACTGCTAGAATATATATATATATA